TCCATTCAGTTTCTATTTGGATGAAGAGGTTTGTTTTCCTTTGAAGAACCAGGAAATTGTTTTAAAGCTACATGAGCCATATTCTGTCTGACCAATATCAGTAATGTTTCTCCCCCGTTTACCCCATCTCATTTTACCAGACTGAATGTGCCACAACCAAAAGATGTCATAGTCTGATCCAACTGAGAAAGTGCTACTTCCAGCAGTGCTTTTATAGCACTGCTAAAACATCTGCAACCATCATAACTGCAGCTGAAGTGCGAAGAGCTATGAGAGTCAGATGGTTTCCATTGGTCAAGGCTATTGCCTGAAACAAGGAAGGCTGGCAGCTCCTCAACCCCAAATTGCAGGCTGGAGCCACTCACGGACCATGCTGAGTGCTTTCACAGATCTCCACAGTTCCACCTTCCGTGCTGCAGCTGAGCTCAGCACCCAGCAGCAAGCTGACTGCAAGCTGCTCTTCCACAAAGTGCACTGGTGCTGCTGCCATCAGTAAGTAATGGCTAAATATTGACAACCATGCAATACCACCTTAAAACAGTGCTGCAGCCCATCCAGCTAAGATATGTATTGCTCACATAAGCAAAACAAGGTAGCACCACACATGCCCCCACTAACGCTACCTGCAGAGCTGAAGGATTCGCATCCCACCCAGCTCCCATACTCACCACAGCTACAGGAAAGGAGAGCTATAAAGAGAGAACTGGGAAAAAGGAAGTTTTCTACAACAAATGAAGGAATTTCATCACTGTACACCAGCTGTAGTCTTGCATTTCCAGCAACAGCTCCCAAACCTGCAGAATCCTGCAGCAGCTTTCCGAAGGGGAATGGGCTGCAACATATCTCAGCAGAGATTGAAAATCAAACCTCCTTTATGCTACTTATGCCATCACTGCCCATGAGCATCTTCACTGTGACTGCAAAGGAGTATCCCAAAGGCACCCTAACAGAACCAGCTGCGCCTGTGACAAAATCCGGCAGCCACCCTTGTGCAGAGAAGGCTAACAGCCATACAAAGCACACACAGCCAGGGGATTTTCATGCTGACACACCCTTGTGCTAGCTAGCACTGGGGAAAAAAAAAAAAAAAAAAAAAAAAAAAAAAAAAAGACAAATTAAGAACAAAAAAAAGTGCAGCACACATTCCCTATGAACACAACCTTCCCCCTCATGCTCCTCTGCTAATGGATTCCATGTCTAGGAGCAAGCTGGGGCTTTGGGTGGCACCTCACACAGTTACCTTTGCTTGCAGCAGTGAGGGGTTCTGCGTCCTGGTCTGATATCAGTGGCTGCCTTCAAATGCTACCAGGGAACAGATTACAATTACTTCTAACAAATATTAACATTCTGTGGGTTTTAAATTAACAATTCAAGCATTGTTCCATATAATACTGCAATCCCTCCAACATTTAATTTCCTAGAAAGGTCTAGTGAGGGAGAAGGGAAAGGATTCTCCTAAAATGCTGTGGGTTCAGGAGGAGCTTCTGTTCATTTCCTTGTTTTTCCACAGAAAGTCAGAGCTATGTGCAGTCTACAAACAACACAACAAACTCATGGCACATGGGGCAGCACAATCTACAGCCATGAAGAGCCCCAACAGCATCTATGGAGACAGTGTGAGGCCAAACAATTCTGTAAACGTATGAAACTACCAATTCCTCACTGGTGTTATTTACTGCACTCGTTTAGATCGCACAGACACCACAATAAAGCAGGAAAAAAAAAAAAAAGAGATTGAAAAACACAACACCTATCCATAGCCTAACCTTGTCTGCTGATATTTGCAAGAAAAACAAGATGAAAAGTAGAACACCTTTGGTATCTCAAAAAGATTAGCACAGTGGAAAGTTACCAATAAATAAAAGAATCAAAAAGAAACATCAGAAACATTTCTGACTGCAGTGTGATTAAACCAAAGCTAGAGGACACGCATTTAATTATTTTTTATGAAAAGTTAATTGATACATCCAACTTCACACTATTTTAATGGACATTTTCCACACTTTCACATTAGGTCACAAGCCATCACTTGTTTAAAACATTTCAAACCATAAGCCTGTCAGCCGATTTCCTGGCTGAGCAGCCCATGTTCTCTTCCCATCAGTTTCAACACAATTCAGGCTGGTTGACCTCCCCTCTCCACAAAGGCCCCCACTGCTCTTCTCCAGCACCATTCAATCACAAATGAACTGCCCAAGAACCACGAACAGAACGGCACCAATGCAGAACCCACTAAGCCCTGAACTCTTCTCATGCTGGCCACCACCTGAACAAACCGGGCTCACAGAATGCTCGCTGCAGAAGCTGTGTCACACAGCACCTCCAAGAGCCCTGGACAGGTGGACTTCTCAAACATCTCTCAATGCACTTCATCTTTCTCTGCACACAAAACTTGAAGGGAAACGGATCACATTTCAGACACAGAGCCCCCTTTGAAACATAGGCAAGGGATCACAGAGATTTCCTGGACACAGAGAATCCACACGCTGCCCACCATGTTAGGAAGTCATTCCACACATAAAGATTTAGTACCAACAGCTGTGTTAATCCACCCTGAACTTCTTTAAGGTGTATGAACCCCAACCACAGACAGGAGCATCCACAAGAAACTAGAGCAAGTAGGTTGTCACTTTAAAATTTGCTTTAAAAAGTGCTTTTTAATGATTCATAGAGAGGAGAACCTCACTATGATCTGCATTACCTGCGTATGTACTCTCCTCACTCCCAGCACGTGGCCTCATTAACAGAGTTCAGGAAGCTTGGCTGAGGCCAGCAGCAGCTCCGGCCCTCTACCATCAGCACGGCCACATTGAGCCACCACACACCTCGGGCAGGATGAGGATCACTGCTTTCCAGTCAGCATGAAAACCATACATTTCATTAAGCTATTATGAATGCTGTTCCACCACAATGGCATTTTCCACAGCAGCACAACAGCGGCTCAGCAGATCTCAGTGTCAGTGCGGGGCCAGCTGCCAGGGCCCGTCGTCACACACACACCTTCACCTTCCAGAGCGGGAATCACTTTGTTTCCTCTCCACCTCAGTCCAGACAGGAGGGTTGCTCTCTGACTACACTACCACTACACTAGCGCTACATCAGCACTAAAAGCAACTATCTAACTGCTGGAAAGAGACAGTAACCCATGAAGCCCTGCCCCTGGAACCATACATTAACAATGTTATCCATGCACTTAAGGGAGGCTCTAGGATCCATCCTGGGCAGCACTGAGGAAAAGCTTCGCTGAAGTCAGGTTAAACACAAGTGTGACACTGACTGCAAAAAGCACCCGCAGAGAAGCCCGTGGACGCTGCTGCTAGGTTTTCAACCACATTATTTCCATATAATAGAAACAATCTCGGTAATTATGGCTACTCCAGCCCATACCCGTGGCACACGGCATAACCGCTGTATAACTGCTAATACCTGCAGCACTGTGCCATGTAAACCAGGACAGGGAGCCGGGGGGGCCAGGCTGTGACTATATGCAAATATCAGGCACCACATGTATTTACCAATATAGCACTGTAGCACTGAAGAACGAATTCTGCAAATTCTGCTTCTCACACCAGCGGCCCAACTAAGCCCTCAGGGCTCCCACAGGACATCCTCAGGGCCACTACACTGTACCCACAGCACATGGGCACACAGAGTCTGCAGCATGCAACCAGCGACCGGGCAGCCCCATCCCAGGCAGTCCCTCACTCATTTCCTAGCCAGAATCACAACTGCTGCAGGAAGACAAACACAAGTGTAGCACATGTTTCCTGCTTTTATGCTTCTGAACCAGAACCCTCAAGAACAGAGCAAGGAGGAGGCATTGGGAGCCCCAGTGCCCACCTTCCATGCAGCACCCAGAGCTCCCTTTGAGAACACCGATCTCATACATTTCCCAGGGGTCCTTCACACCACCACTTCTGCCCACAGAGCTCTCCTAACAGAGCTGCAGCTTCAGAGCTTTCAGGTCGGCGTTTGCCAACATGAAACTCCCAGATTTGGAGGAGTGAGGATTGTCTGAGTGGCTCAGAAAAGCTGAACGCAGTGCTTCAGCGAATCGGGGAGAAGGAAAGGGAAGGGATGGCACTTCAGCTTCGAGAGAGCGACTTCGGTATTGTCCCAACCAAGGGCTGATTAAGAACTTTGCAGCAACAAGAAGAAAGTCCAAGAAAAAGAACGGAGAGACGCAAAAGAGCAGTTCCAAACAAATCTGTGGCAAGGAAACCGAGCGTGTAACTGCCGCACACCCACTGCCGTGATTTCAACATGGGGCTGAGGGAGGCCGGCACGGGCAACGTTCGAGTCGGCCCCGCCGCAGGCCAGGCTCTGGGCTTCCGCACCCCGCGGTCGCATCCCGCTCCCGGGGCTCCCGCGCACCTCCGGAGCCGCGCAGAGGCCGCGCGATGCGGCCGGGCCGCCGCGGGGTCCCCCGGAGCCCGGGCCGGAACGGAGCCGGGGGGCTCGGCCCGGGGGCGTCCCTGTGGCGGGGTCCCCCCGCACCGCCTCCCCGCCGGGCCTGGAGGGCCGGGAAGCCTGAGGCTGGATTTCCAGCGGCTCTCGCCTCGGCCCGGCCACCCTCCGCGGGGCACCGCCGGCCCCCGCGTCCCTCCCCGGCCGGGCCGGGCCGAGCCGAGCCTCCCGCCTCGCCCCGCGGCAACGGCACTCCCGGGAGCGGCCGCCCCGCCGCCGGGCACCGGCGAACAAAGGGCCGAGGCCCGCCAGGCGCCCGCGGGGAGCCGCGCCGGAGCCGCGCTCTCCGCCCGCCGCCGAGGGACCGCCGCGAGAGGCCGGCCGAGGGGCCGCCGCCACCCCCTGCGCTCTCCGCGGCCGCTCCGGGCACGGCTCCGAGCACGGCTCCATGGGGTTGGGGCCGCCACAGTCCGGCCCCGGGCCCCGCGGTCGCCGCCGCCCTCAGCGGGGCAGTCCGGACTTTCCCCCTCGCTCCCCTCCCCGCTCCGGGAAGCGCCATATTGATCCCGGGCGCCGCTCCCCGCGCCCCTCACCTTGGCGATCGCCTTCTTGTACCGGGTCACCGCTTGCTGGATGAGGCTGAAAACTTTCATGTTGCCGTCCCCGCAGGGCACGACCACCCGCGTCCTCCCGAAGCACACGGTGACTTTCATCCTGCGCTGCCGGGGGGCTCCCGCGTCCCTCCAGCCCCGCGCAGCCTTCCTCCTCTTCCTCCTCCTCCTCCTCCTCCTCCTCCGCCTCTCCGCCCTCCGCCACGGCCGCCCCCCGGCGGGGCGCGGCGCTCAGCCTCCGGCCGCCGCCGCCGCCGGACCGCCGCTGCGGGTGCCCTGCTGCAGAAGTACGGGCAGGGGACCGGGGTACGGGTAGGAGCAGGGCGGGACGAGGGCCGCTCGCTGCCTGGCTGGGGGAGCGCGGCAGGCCGGGCCGCTCATATGCCGCGGAGCTGCCCGCTGCCTGCGGCCACCTGCTCGGCGCCTGCCCCGGCGCGCAGCGGCGACGGGCGGGGCGCGGCGCTGCCTCCCCGCTCCGGAGACGCGGAGCATTGCAGCGGGGCGGGCGCAGCCGGACGGCCCCGCGGGGCGCCCCGCGCAGCCGAGGCGCGGAGCAGCGCCGGCACCCGACGGCGGTGGGGTTGGCCCAGAGCGGCGGCCGCTCGCTGCCCCGGGCCGGCCGCCGTGGTGCCGGGTCCGAGCCCCGGTGGCGCCGCGAACTCTGCGGGAGCTGTGCGCCCGACACCAGTTGGTCCGCTGAGAGGAGGAGTGGGGGCAGCCGGCTGTTCCTCCCCATAACATTGCCTGCTGCTCTTCTGTCGCTAATCTGAGGGATAAAACCAAGGCACTAAAACACAGAAAGCCTCGAAACAGAATCTTTACACATTCCTACCCGACTTTTTGGAGAGCCAGGTGATCTTCATGGCCTTTTGTGTTTCTTTTAGCACGACAGAACTGACACAGAGCCGCGGAAAAATCAATGCATCATCAGGCTGATTCCAGCAAACCTGGGACTGTTCAATTTGGAGAAGAGAAGGCTTCAGGGAGACCCGATAGCAGCCTTTCAGTATCTACAGGGGGGCTGTAAGAAAGAAGGGAACACCTTCTTTAGCCAGGGTCTATTGGGACAGAACAAGGGGATATGGTTTAAAGCAAAAAGAGGGGAGATTTAGATTGGTTATAAATAAGGGGTTTTTTACAGTAAAGGTGGTGAGGCACCGGTACAGGTTGCCCAGATTGGTAGTGGATGCCCCATCTGTGGAGACACTCAAGATCAGGATGGATGGGACACTGAGCACCTGATGGACCTGTAGGTGTCCCTGTTCATTGCAGGGAGGTTGAAACTGATGGCTTTTAAGAATCCCTTCCAACTCAATTCTATGATCAGTACATGAGCATCAGTGAAAGCGCTGAGCAGTTTACTCACCAGAGCCATCAGATGTCAAAAGATTTTGCAAATATCACCCACATTTTTCCATGGATTTCACTGAAAACTGTGGAGTTGCACAGTTCACTGAGCATTCACTGTGGCCTGACAGAATGCTTCTTTTGGGTATAAATGGTGAAATTCAAATTAACTGCAGAACAAAGGTAGACTTTGGAGGACATGAAGGAAGGGAAAATACTTCACCCCCCTCCCCACATTTCATGGTCCCACAGACATGAAATGAAGTGTGTGGAAAAAGTGTGTGTGGGAAAATGAAGTACTTCACAGCACGTAACACAAGTGTCCTGCTGCTAGTGTGGGCACCTCAGCCGTGTTCTCCACTTCTTCCTACCCAGCAGCAATCTCAGCAACTGTCTGTCCACTCCCCTAGGCAGTGGTTTTGGTAACTTCAGGGACTTCAAACAGGATCTAAATAGAAAAACCGATCTGCAGTTTAATGGGCACCCAGCTAAAGGGTAGAAATAATGTTATTCTTAAAACTTGGTGAAATTACTTCCCAATTAAGATAACAGAAGCATGAGAATGGCATCCTTAGCCCTTTGCATTCTAATTAGCAGTTTAAAGCAATGAAAAGGTCCATTTATAGAAGTTTCATCCTTCAAATATCCAGTTCAATTCCATGGCATTGTTTCTACCAACAGTGGTTCTGGAAAACTTCTGGGCATGCAGCGACAAGACATCTCACCCATTGATCTGCAGATAATTCTGCTCTGCTTAGATGTCAATGTCATTTCCATTATATGCTTGCCTTACCTGAACTAGTAACTTGGGTGAGAATCTGAAAGCTGCATGAAAAATAGGGCTGTCTCTGAAAGCAGGAGACAAGCACTCCTGACAAACAGTAATACTTTAGCTTATCCTCAGTGTTTCACTTATGGAACAGAAAGGAAGAATTCAGGAGGTCAGAGAGGCAGAAGGAAATGACAGAGAAGCAAACAGCTTCCAGCTCGTGACTGAGACAACTGAGCACGCTCCACGATTGCACGGCCATGGCCTATCAAATTCAGTATTGGAAAATGCTGAGAATTTCCATTAACTACTGGTTTCATACTTTCTAGGTGATCATAAGTGCTGCTGGGAACATACTGTGAAAATAAAATGGTTATAAATCCTTGGTTTAATAGACAGCATCTGAGAAACTTGCAGAAACAGCTGCAAAAATGTGAAATCGACAGCAACTCTTCCAAGGAATACTGTCTGTAACAAGAAATTTTCCAGTGACAGATTTGGCAGTGTTCAGCATTGCCTTTCAGCAGTCATTTGCACGTATCCACTGAAACACAATGTTGCTTATCAGGGACCTCACCACACCTCTGTAAAATGTATTATTAATAGAAAGATTTTCTGGTCAACAGCGACTCTTTCCCTGCTCACACACTGCTACAGGTTTCTCATGTTTTCCTAGGATCTAATTCCCACTCTTCAACAAGTTTCTTGATGGTTTCTCAGCTGTTCTAACAGTCTCCTGGGGAAAAGAAAAAAAAAAACAAAAAAAAAAAAAAAAAAACAACCTAAAACAATTCAGCAATAAATATTGACAGGGTTATTTTATTTTATTTTATTTTATTCAATGTTTAAAATTGGAAAAATCAGAAGTGAAGTAGAAAGAAAATAACTTCATCCTGGAATGTGATTTGAGACCAAAAAGTTAGGACTACGGCATGGATAGTGATAGCACCAATGAAAGTGAGGGCCTTGGAGATTTGGATTTCTTTCTCACTAGATACCCACACATACACTTTATATAAACATGATTTTGAAAACTTTCAAATACAGTTTTCTAAGTTTAGTGTTTGATGATGTCTACAAGGAAGAAAGAACTTTACCAAACAAAATAACAAGTCTGTGAGAGTGTCCAAGATCTAATTATGTAAGATAAATGAAGTATAAAACATTATTATTAGAGATTATGAGAAAAGGATTATACTAATCAGGAGAAAAATTGGCAAGAGTTGCTGGTTTACAAAAACTACAAGTACTTTCCGTGTACTTAATGAAAAGGCATCATGATGCAATAAGGGATGGTGGATATATATAGCTCTGGATGTTGAGATCATATACCCTACAACCTGACAATCCATTTTCTAACCAGGATGTTGTTGGAAGACTTCCACTGAGAGGCAATTATCTGTCTGGCAGAAGGAAGTCGATGGAGCAGTGGATGGAGACAACCAGAGCTTATGATTGCTGATGATTAATACTCAGGTTCTGTTTAAAGCTGCCACTGGTTGCAGTCTCTGGAGAACACACCGCAGACGTGCAAGCAGTGAGAATCTTGCAACCACTGATTACCATGGGTAGGTTTCACCTGAATGTTAAAGCTCTTCAGGCAGTGGAATGTCACTCATTTCCAGTACTTCACAGTTTATTCTCCAATTATACACTGTTGAGGAATTGTTATGGACTTATTCTGCATATGTTCAGATTTAGCAGTCTCTCCATGGTGTGATTTGACAGGAAAACACTGACTTAGCTCACAGTGTGTTTGAAGTTCATGCAGTGTTAAGCACAGATATTTCCTTAAGCCAAGCAGAGTTCATTCAGACCTGTGGAAAGACCAGTGTCAAACTGAAGAGCTATAGTGTTCCTCAAAGAATTACAGTGTAAACATAGTTATCTAGTTCACCTAGAAGTCAAATTAAAAAGTAAATAAAGAAAGGAGAGGGGTTGGAAGAAGAAGATATATAAAATAGACAAAATCAAGTAACAAAAATAAAATAAAATAAAATAAAATACCTGCAGCACCTCATGTGAGTTCAAAGTGCCATTGTCAAAAAGACTTAGGGAATACTATGAGGTTTTGGAGATTCAGGATCCTGAACAAACTTAACTCTTCTACTCAATTATTAGGTAAAACCTTATATTAAGTGTTTCGTATACGTTCAAATATTTTGTTTTTAATGCTCTACATTATTTACATTTTACTCTGGGTCTCTGCTCTTACCAAATCAAGCACACGTGACTATTTGAGATCTTCCTCTGGATAACTTTGTAACTGCAGCAATGGGTCAACTACTCTGCTGTCAGATTTCCTGGGTTCTGCTACGTACTCCCCATACTTTCACAGAGTAGCGAAACAGTGGTTCCTAGCATCTAGTTTTATGAATGAGACAATCATTAAAGCTTATTAAGTAATTGTGGCTGGCTTTGGCCTGGAAAATAAATGAGGTCAAATTAAGAATTATTTTCTACAACGTCTCAAAAGAGGCTGGGATTTAGGGAATGGACAGTCTTTGAAACATTAAGAAGTAATTAGAGAATCATGCGAGTATTGATGTCAGGCATAGGAGACTGGGGCACACAAAATTTGGGAAGAAAAGAACTACTTCTTTGGTGGTATAAAGGAAGAAATTGTAGCGAAGAATCCCCAATTTGAAGGAAAAGCCACATGACTGTTCACCTTCCTGGAGGCTGCAATGTGAGCCTGAAGGAACTTCAGGCAGCCATATGGTGGGTAGGGGCAGAAGATGAGTATACGTGAGCCTACTGCTTTTTCTTCTGGGTCTAAACTGGTCTTATCAGAGAAATACAGAATCATAGAATATCCTGAGCTGGAAGGGACGTAGAAGGATCACCAAGTCCAACTCCCAGGCCACCCAAAATCCAAACCCAGTGTCTGAGGGCAGTGTCCAAATGCTCCTTGAATTCTGAGCTTGACGCTGTGCCCACTGCCCTGTGCAGCTTGTTCCATGCCCACCGGTCTCAGGTGCAGAACCGTTCCCTAACCCAAACCTGAGCTCTCCCTGATGCAGCTCTAGAA